TTGTACCTGGGACACAGCCACCCCAAAATTGGTCACAGGGACTTGGGGAAGTGCAATCTTTGGAATCTCTAGTTCTTTCTTTGTTAAATGGGAAGTAGAGGGAAGTTTTATCTTGCCTAAACTTAAATCAAAAATATTTTCTCATTTAAACATAACCCCCCAAAAAGGATGTACCATTGGGAAATAAAGGCATTTTTCTTAAAAATTTCACAGTTCAACAAGAAGTTTTTCTTTTCTTTTCTTTTTTATGGTACTGGGGATCGAGCTCAGGACCTTGTGCTTGTCAGGCAGGTGCTTCAGCTGCTGAGCTATCTTCCTGGCCCAATAAGAAGTTTCTTATACACATAGATTAGAAGGTTTTAGCTTTGATTACTTAATTATTGAACATTAGGATTATAACTTAATAGACTACGATACATTAAAAACCAGAGTATGTTTAAACAAAAAGTAGAACAATAAATATAAACAATGGTGCTGTGTACATAAAATATTTATTTGGTACAGGGTCCCACTGTGCTACTGGGACTTGTAGTGATCCTCCTGTCTCACCCTCCCCAGCACTGGGATTACAGGTGTGTGCTCAGGACAAGGCAGGCATGCCATGTGGTACCGGGGATCAAACCTGGGTCCTTACACTTGGCAGGCAGGTACTTAGACCCCCAAGCTATCGCCACAGCACCCTATGTGCATAAAATAGATCCACAGAAGTATGGAATTGCTCCAGTCTCCAAGGGCTGTGTAGAGCACATCCAGATGAGAAACTTACCAGAACTGGTTGACTCGCGGCAGAGTGGTGATGGCCCGGTCCCAGATGTTCCGGGCATGGTTGACTTGCCGGTTCTTCATTTCCATTTCTGCATACTTCAGCCAGAGCGTGATATTTCGATAGTCTACATCTAAAGCACGCTCGTATATGGATCGAGCCCTTGAAGAAGATTTGCAGGGCATGAGAAACAGTACATATGACATATGTAGCAGTTTCTTCACGCTATTTGCATCTCACTGAGTACCTACCACAAGCCTAGCTCTGGGGATAAAAGGTAAGCTAGAGGATATTCTCTGGAACCTTACAAAGCCCACTAGAATGACAGAAATGCATGTAACTATAATACGGTGTGACAAGCATGACCATCAGATCTGCACAGGAAGCAGAATAAAAGAAGCGATATCTGGAGGAACAGTCTCAGGTGTGAACCCGAGGGGGGTTGGGCTGGCCAGGAAGCCCGTGCTGGTGGGCAGGGTGCTGCTCCACAGCAGAGCTCTCAGTGTCCCAGCGGGAGGAACGATGGGTGCAGGGAGTGGCAGGCTCCCAGGCATAGCACAAGCAGAGGAGTGAGCATGAATCCAGACAGACGGACAGCAGGAAAGGCCAGATTGCGATTTTCATCTTGTTGACTGTTGGTGTTCAGCAGAGCACTTTCATTTTTAAAATCTCAGTAATACAAAAAGCCAATGAATACAGAAGCAACAGTCACAGAGTGCTGGCAAGACCCTCCTGCTGCTCCCCCAGACCTCCATCTTAGTGCTTCTGAGGCTCCTCGGAGAACCCTGGGGTTCCACGGCATGCAGGCTGACAGCCGCCACCAAAGGCACATGCTTTCACCTGTGCCTGAGCTTTTTCTACCTTTTCATCTGTTGTTATGTGAGATCTTTACACATTGAGTTACGCTTTCAGCAATAATTTCTTCTCTGCGTATGTGTTTACAACACCTATACATACAGAACTGTACTCTCAATAAATTTACCTCTGAATCTCCTTTAGACTTTCTTCCCATTGTGCGTACTTTATCCAGTTACTAATCACAGTCCTGTTCTTTCTTATATTATCTTCGAAAGTCTGGGAGAAACGGAAAAGGTCAAGTTAATGGAAAAAGAACTCAAATGACACCACCCTTTGTCTGTTGTGCACTTCCTGTTGATTCATTCTGCTTTTATTTAAGAAAAGCTACATCCAGGAATCCTTGAGGAAGAGCTACTCACTATGGGAGGTTACAGTTACGGGTGTCTTTTAAAGTCTTCCATGTAAGGAAACAAAAAGAAACAAAATTAGCAGAACGTTGCTATTTTCTCCTATTGCTTATGACAAAGGATACTTTAATATCTTCTTCAGAAGAAGATGTTTTTGAACAATACCTTTAAATCCTTTACTGCTTAGAATCATATACGTATCACAGTAGTCCCTCTCTATTTCTCAGCTCAACTTTTGCAGACTGATTCTTGGGTTTTCAAAAAATATTAATCTGAATTACTTATTGTGGATTTTCGCTATGTCGTGGGATTTTGCAGGACCATACAGTACATGTACATTGCTAAAACTGCGGAGGTTTACAAGTTTCGAAAATGGTTAGGAACATTAGAAGTGTTTTTAAAAGTGTGGGAAAGGCTTATAAGAGTGTGGAAAAGGTTTATAAAGTTTTAAATATATATATATATATATATATATATATATATGTATGCTAAAATAAATACAACGTCATTACTTCGCTGATTTTCACTTGTAGCGAAGGGGTCTGCAACATAACCTCTGTGGTAAGTGAGGGACCCCTGTACTTTGACAATAACAAGTGGACACAACAAGGATAGTGGTTTAAAATAATCCATATGTAAGAGGCTGAGTCAAACCCACAAGCTTCTCCTGGTTCTTTCTGGGTGGCAGCTCTTAAAGCCCAACAGAAGCAGCAGTGTAGCCCTGCCAGGTGGCCTGCACAACTTCCTTCCAAGTGTCACTGTTCAATCTGTTAAACTGCCACCTGTCTTAGTTCAGCACCAAAATCATGTCCCTGGCAGACTCAATTTCTTTTAAACTCACAGTATGTTTTATACCATTCAATGAGATACAATACCCGCAAGTTATATTATTCAAGTGGTTAGAGTAATGACCTCATCCTATGTTACAGACTCACACCAATTCAACAGATGGAAAGATGCCATGCGGACTGACCTTCCTTTTCCTTAGCTTATAATCATTTAATTCTTCTTCATCTGTGATCTTCTGCTGAGGTGGAGGCGGGAGAAGCTCAAGTTCTCTTTCTTTGGCTTCTCTTAAGAGTTGCTCAGCAGTTATTTGTACTTCAGCCGGTGCTTTGTTTTTCACCTTTTAAGAAAGAAGATATTTCTATTTTTGATAAAAGCTTTTCACACTGGGTTTACGAAGGATTAAAAAATAGGCTCACACTTTTAGGATGTTAATTTAAGTTTGATTACAGTATGTCCTTTTTGTACAACAGATTCACATTCCCTTATGAAGCTGATTAAAATTGTAATTTTCTATGTCATACACAGTACCTATTTATAAATTGTTAAAAGTTGCAAGAGAAAAAGGTTGCAGAAATAAAAAAAGAAAATTTCCCTTTTAGGTGAACATAATAATAAACTAAGTAAAACACCTTGCTTTATCAAGATATGAAGAGTTTCTTACCTATTCCAACCTCTATTTGCAGAATTCTTCAACTTATTTTAATGCTCCTAGTGGATGATTTGGTTGGGTTCTTCATAACATTTTAAGTTGACTCACTGACTGACTGATGACAGGGTTTCATTTTGAGGTGCAGGCTGGCCTCCAGCTCACTTTATTCCTCCTGTCTCAGACTCCTTAAGTATTGGGATTATTGGCATGTACCACCACAGCAGGTATTTTACACTTTTTTTGGGGGGCGGGGTACCAGGGATTGAACTAAGGACCTGTGCTTGCCAGGCAGGCATTTATGCCAATGAGCTATCTCTCCTTCACAGCAGGTATTTCAAATCAACCTAAACTTACTATGTTCCCATCATTACTTTAAGCTTCTTAAGGTCTCAGAGCTATGCTGTCCAGCACAGTGGCTACCAGTCATTTGGTGAGGCCAACCTGGGATGGACTGTAAGTGTAAAACACACACTGGCTTGTAAAACAGATATATATATCTCAAACTCTCATTAACCTATTATAGTGATACTGTGTTGAAATCATATTTTTGATAGACTAGGTTAAGTAAAATATATTACTAAAATTAAGCTCACCTGTTTTTGCTTTTTAAATCTGTCTGTGAGACAAGTTTAAATTATGTATGTGGCTGGCACACAATTTTCGTTGAACCAGTGGCGTCCAATAAAATTTTCTCGATTTGAAATTCCAAGTATGGTAGTGCAGGCCTGGAGTTCCAGCTACCAGGGAGCTCAAGAGGGATCGTAGAGCCTACAAGTCAGAGTCTCAGATTCTGACATTGTGAGACTGCATCTCAATCGAAAGTAGTTAAGAAACTGACTTATAAGAAATTACTTAATGTCGTGTGTAAAATAATGATAGCTCTAATGAGCATTAAGTTTTGAGGAAGTCATCTAAACAAGGTGCCTAAAGGTTAAGCATTAGGGAGCCCTAGCTGGAAAATGACAGACTGGAGGAAAAGTATCCGTAAAAGCTGGGGACAGACCCTCACATAGCTCTTGGTCAGCATCAGCCATCGACAAAACCATCAAAAAAACCCGCTGTTTAAGTAGCTCACATTAGGTCTACTCTAAAAGCTCCCACTATCCTCTGGGCTAACTTCCACCCAGCCTTCACTGTGCTGAAATGTGATGTCCTCGGCGAGGCTGAAGACCCCCGAGCCCAACGACACAGGCGAGGCTGCGAGTTCCTCGGGTGGTTCTAAAGCTCCTCAGAGCGTCCCCGCTCCCAATCCCCAGAGTCGCGCACGATCCCCGGTGATGACAGCACCGCAGGCGACACGATCCCGGCCGACCCTCCCTCTCGTCTTCCCCTCGGACAGCTAAGGGGGGCCTCCCGGAAAACCATTCTTCCGCCAGGGCCCCTTCCCCGCCGTTGCTTACCTTGGCCACCTTGGGAATTCGCTGCTTTCCGGCCGCGGTGGAGGCCGCCATGTCGGTGGAGCTGACTTCGGCAGATCGCCGCCCAAGCCCACTCCAGAAACCCGCTCGAAAGTCTTGCAGACCTCCGAATCTAAAAACAACCTGGGCCAGGAACCGGAAGCGGAACTTGTCGCTGTCCTATGACGTCACCCCGCGCCAAGATCTCGCTCGGTTTCCGTGGTAACGGGGCCGCGCGTCCTACCTTGCAGTGAGTGAGGCTTCCGGAGTCACAGAGAGGTGGGTCTGCGGCGCGTCTCCAGTCGCTTGACTGGACGGAAGGAACCGGGGCCCTGAGGACCCGAGGCTGGCTGCCCGGGAAAAGGAGGCGCGTTCGGGCTGGGTCCGGCGAGGCGCCTGGGGGCTGCGGTGGGCCGTGCGCTCCTCCTAGTCCGCCCCGCGCCGCTGGTTGCCGACGCTGGCACCCTAGTACGAATGCTGAGGCTCGAAATTTGAAATGAGGCAAGGCGTTTCTACATCTCAGCTATTGGCTGGAGAAGGCGTTCAGGGATAGAGTTCGCCTGGGGTGCGCGAGGCCGCACTACCAACATAAAACAAATCATTGCTGTGAGGAACAGTCAAGAGAATGAAGCAATGTAACCACTCAGCTCTGTGGAAAAGAAACTAAAGTTGCGATTGTGCCGTTATTGCCTAAGTTTTCTTAACCGCCAACGCTCTCAACTATAAAACAAAGATACTGATCTTAATACCCTTAAGGCTGAGGGCCGGCTAGATAGCTCAGCCGACTAAAGCGCCTGCTTAGCCAGGCGCAGGGACTGGGTGTTCGATCCCCGGCCCCAGAGGCGCGCTCGGACTGGGCGTGGTGGCACATGCTGTAATCCCAATGCTTGCGAGGCTGAAAAACAGGATCCCTACGGTCCGATTGAGATCCTTAGTAAATACATAAAAACAAACAAACTGAAATCTGTGTAAAATGCCCCGTAAATGTCAGCTGGTACACTACGTGGCCTGCCTTGAGAAACAAAATACGTTTGGTTAATGCAATTTGTAAAATACTTTTAAAACGAGGTGATGGTACAGAGATTTGCCGTGTACCTCCTACCCTGCTCCATACAAAGCATCCTCACTACTGACCGGCTACAAGAGATTGTCTTACATGTCTCAACCATATTTCGCATTTTTATATGCTTTTTTCTAAATAATTCGTTTATAAGTGTATTCATTGTTTTAAGTTCTGTGGTTAGTTTAAATATTAATAACCACATTTTCTATTTTAAAAGTTTCTATTCTCTTTTAGTAGTTATTCTCTCAATTTTTTATTTATTTTTTCTCTATTTCTAATAATTACTATAAACATACTTACTTTTTAGACTTGTTTAGAACCCATTGTTCTGGTAGCTAGACTCTCATGTGGTTGATGGACAAAGGTAGAGTGCCCTAGTTTAAACACATGCTTATTTATTTATTTATTTATTTAATTTTCCTTTTGTAGTACTGAGGATTGAACTCAGGAGCTTGTGCTTCTCAGGCAGGAACTTATGTGGCTGAGCTATCTCCCCGGCCATGTTTGTTTATTTTTGCAGAGTGTGGTAAAAATGGAGGCGGTGTTTCAAGTTTTGCAGTTGTAACATGAGTACCAAGCTTTCCTTCCTTCCTGGCATTTCATCCAGGATGAGGCAGAGACTGGCAGGAGTGGGGTTCACTGTAGTTGCTGGGCACAGGCCTTCAGGGCATGATCACACAGCATGCAGCAGTAATGGTTCACAGTGGTCCTCAGCCCTGGACCTTGGTGACTACCTGGGCTGCAGAAATACCTCCAAGGCCCCTCTATTGGTTTTCTCCTTGTTACAATGGGAAATTATTAAGAAATGAATACACTGATATTTTGACACCCTCCTGTCAGTTTTTGTGAGCGTGAGCAATATGGGGCTGTCCTGGGTGAGACTTGGGGTGCTGGTGCAACTTCTTTATAAACTTGCCAAGTTGGTGGCTGAGGCCCCTGGATGACTCCTAACTGTTCTCCTATCTCCCAGTATCCTGGCTGCATCATCTTATACCTTGGACCTGAAGGGTGAAGGTGTGTGGTTAAGAGCACTTGAGCTAAAGTTTAACCTGAAGCCCAAAGGACACTGAGGACAGGGACCATTTACCCACAGAGCATGCAGGGGGCAGGGACAGAGGGTGCTGGCAGGACACACCCAGGGTCCTACTTCTGAACCAACCTGTATGTTCTGAGGAAAGTCACCTCGCTGTTTGTGTCTTGGTTTCCTCCTCCAATAGAGTAAGGAGTTTAGTCCAGTGCTTTCTAGATCCTACAGTACTCAAGTTTTTTGGTTTATGGAAATAATGGCTAGATGAAAGTGTATGTTTTGTGAGAAAAACCATACCTTATAAATCCGTTTGTATTCAAAATTGGCAGAGATGAAATCTGTGGTGGAAGTTAAAGTGGTGGTGCTCTCTGGTGTGGGAGTTGCCATGAGCCAGCTCTGGGATGCAGTGAATGATTCATATTGTTCTCAAGCAATATGATGCTAGAGATAAATTCTCCTGGTTTTAAGCTCTCTGATTAGGGTACAGTAAGTCTGTTTTCCTTGGGGAAAAAGGAAAAGACATGCACGTGAGAGAGACAGAAACCATGTGTTGTCTTTGTACAACTTTTTTCCACTGTTGCTGCCGTTAGAGATTCTGCTCGGAAAAGAATGGGAAAGCACATCAGTGTTATACAGCTTTTCAAAGCCCTTCAATGGTTGTGCTAGTTTTTCCATCACTGTGACAACATACCTGAGACAATCAGCTTATCAGGAGGAAAAGTTCATTGTGGCTCACTGTTTTAATGGTTTGATCCAAGGCTGACTGGTGCTATTGCTCTGGGCTGTGTTGTCCCTGTATCTCCTGAAGGGAGTATATGATGGGGGAGGGAGGGGACTGGAAGCAGAGAGAGAGGAAAGGCCCAGGGTCCCAATATGCCCGCAGCGACAGTCCCCAGTGACTCAGCTTCCTTCCAGCATGCTTCTCTCCCTAAAGGTCCTGGCACCTCCCAGGAGCACTGTAGGCTGCTAACCAAGCACGTATGCTTTTAGGGGATGCTGCCAGCCATAGCAGCAGCCAGCAGGACCCTTCAGGAGGACTTCCTATGCTTGTGTGACCACAGAACTTTTTTGGTCTCCAAATATCATTCAAGACTGCTGTCCTCAGGACACCAGGTTGGGGGACTCTGTATGGGAGTTGGGCAGCAGCTCTCAGTATTTCCTGCACCTCCTGATTACATGCTGTAGGTGAAGTGAATGATTGAATATGCTGGACACTGAAGCAGTAAATAAATCCTTTCAGTGTTTTTCAATCCTGTCGTTAGAAAATTTTGAATCAGTGTTTTTGGAAACAAAGAATGTGGTTGTAGGGATTTCTAGACTGGTGAAATCTTTGAAGCTTTGTGTCCAGTGGAGAATCACTGCAGCAGCCTTGTTGGCAGTGGTCAACACAGACACTCCCAGGGGACAGTGTGTCACACTAGTACTTGTGTACCACGTTCTTTCTGACTGTTCAGAAACTGAGTTAATGTCTGGTTTTATGGGTTCTGTAACTGAACAACATGTATCTCTGACTAATGTGGACTCTTTTCTTCCCTCTTGTTTGGGGACAGGAGGCAAAAATGTCCATACTCACTTCTCCCAGAGGAAAGGTAGAAGTGGTTCACTGCCGAAGAACAGAATCGCAGGATATTTATTGTATCCAAAAACTCATTAGAAAATTTACCCAGAAGCTGTTTGGGAAGCTTAATATCATCTATCTTCTGTAAGTACTTAGCTAAGTAAGTTCAAGTATGTTTATCTGTGCTGTCATCCACTGGGAGGGCTCCGTACTCCTTGCTTGTGAGACTTAGTGAGAAAGTGGACCACCTGCTGCACACTGAAAACCTGTGACATGAAATATCTGGGGACAAGAGTCTCTACATCCTGTAACCATGGGCAGATTGCAAAAGCTTGTCCTCGGCTTTGGATTCAAAAAAGCTTGGATCAGCTTTCACTGGCTCCACTTACCAGTAGAGTCACTGGGAACAGGTTAGTAATGTTATTCACCAGATTTGGGGACTTTAGCATATGTTAGGCTCTGGGCTTTGCTAACATTATATGTCTTAGTGACTTTTCTAATTACTGAGACAAAATACTCGACACCCAAAGTTAAAGAATGAAAGGTTTATTTAGCTAACGGTTTATAGAGGTTTCAGCCCACATTTGACTGGTTCCAAGGCAGAATGGCATGTCAGAGGGGCATCACAGAGGAGAAATACTCTATGGCAGGCAAAAGGCACCAGAGCAGCAAAGTAACAGAGAAGCAGCAAGGAACAGCAGCAGCCCTCTTTCTGCCCCTTATCTTCTATCCAGGGTACACGCTCTTTGTGTAGACAAAGGCAGACAATATAAGAAAGCTATACTTACTGTGTATGAACATATAAACTATTGTAATATGCGACAGGAGGTAGCATGGAGGTGGACATGAGTCTTCCTGTAATCCAGACCTGGAACTATGCCAGTTCAGTCAGTGGACTAATTTATTAACAACACACCCGCAATTCTAGCACCGTGATCCCAGCATCACACACACGGGATCCAGCCAGCTCTGCTAAGCTCCACCTGTGACCACATGAGGCTTTGGGAAGGACATCCAGACACAGACACAGCACTATCTTACTCAAATACACAACCTAATATTGAACTTCTCAGAAAAGCAAGTCAAGTTCAAAGCTTATATGGAGAAGGACATTGGAAAGATCAGAGCAGAAATGAATGCATCAGAGACTAAGAAAACAACGTAAAGAATCAGTGAATAGAAGAGTTGATTCTTTAGCAGATTAAACAACATTAATAAATCCTTAGTCAACATTATTTTAAAAAAGGAAAGACTCAGATCCATGCTATTAGGGAGTATCACAAACCCTGACTTACATTTGTACTATAAAACTACAGATAAAAACAGCATGGAACAGATTAGAAGATACAAAAGTAACTCCAGACATACTTACCAAGCACCTTATCTTTGACAAAGGTACCAAACATTTTTATTGTATGAAAGATAGCCTCTTTGGTAAATGGTGCTGGAAAAACTATCTTTCCACATACTGAAGATTAGAACTAGATCCATGTCTTTTACAGGCACTAAACTAAAATTGAAATGGATCAGAAATCTAAATATTAAAATAGGAACACTAAACTTGCTGGAAGATAGAACAGGTAGAACTCTTGAAGACATCAGTATAAGTAAAAACTTTATGAATGAAACCCCAGTGACACAGGAACTATCACAAGGAATCACCAACTGGGATCTCATCTGATTAAAGAGCTTTTGCACAGCAAGAGAAACTACCAACAGAGAGAGGAGATAATCCATAGTGTGGGGAAAATTTTTTTCCATGTGTTCCTCAGACAAAGGACTAATATCTAGAATGTATGAAGAATTCAGAAACTCAGATGCCCCAAACTTAAAGGCCCAATCCAAAAAGGGGCATCTGTAATAAATAGATGCTTCTAGATGAACAAGTAGGAACAGCCAATACCTGTACGAAAAATGTTCAGCATCACTGGTCATTTGAGAGATGCAAATGAAAACAGTGTTGACATTCCATCTCCAGAAGGAGTGGCTGTTATCAAGGAATCAACCAGTCACAAATGCTGGCGGGTCTGTGAGGCAAAAGGAGCCCTTCTCTACTGTAGTGTAGAGTGGCGCAGTCACTGTGGTGATCAGTGTAGCAATTTCTAAAAAACTGAGACTAGAGTTCCCATTCTATCCAGCTATTCCCCTTCTTGATATCTTCCTGGAAGATGTAGAAGCACGATATCACAGCAATATGTGCACACCGATGTTTATAGCTGCACAGTTTATAATAGCCAAATCCTGCAGCCTGAGTTCCCATTAACCAGTGAGTGGATAAAAGAAGATGAATTTTTAATTCAGTGGAATATTACTTTGCCATAAAAGAGGATAAACTTGTGACATTTTTAGGTAAGTGGATGCATTTTGAGATCACAGTTTTAAGTGCAATAAAATTAGACACACATATTTAAATGCCATTTTTTTTTCTGGTGTGAGAAACCAAAAGTACAAAAATAAGGACTAAAATATAAATAGATATTTGGAAATGGGAAGAAAATGTTCAAATGATAAGGGCAAGGGAGTGGAAGGGGGAACAGGAAGAAGGGATAAGGAAAAAAGAATAGAAAAAATGCAAACAAGCTTTTATGACTGAGAAGAGGAAGGTCTGAAGGGAGGGGAAGAATATGGGAAAAAAGGAATCAAGATATATCATGTATTATGTACCATATGTATTGCTGTATGTTACTCTGCTTCTGTGTTTTTGCTTTTGTTTTTGTTTTTACTCTCAAATGAAATTGAATTTAAGAAAGTCATACCATGTATAGGTACAAATTCCCTAAGATGAATGTGATCATTATATATATATATATATCTAAATGTACCAATAAACTTTTAAAAAGACAAATGCAGAAAAATTTCAAGAACTTATTCTTCCTAGTATCTCTTAGGGGGCCAAGAATATAAGAAAAAACATAGAATGCTAAAGATGCCCATAAGAATCCTTAACAAACTCCATGCAAAATACTAAAATACTAGAAGAAATTTGTTTTTATTGTAACAAATGGTGAGGTGGTTTGTTGTCACAGCTTCTGTTAAACATTGAATTGAAGTTCCTAACTACTACATTATTAAAAAAAGTAAGATTCTTAATATGTTTTATGAAATAAAAGTTATATATAGTTCATTGTAATATAGAATATTTGAAGCCATATGTAAATAAATCATTAGAATTAATACCAAAGTTTAAAGTTGCTGGCTATTGAGCAATCATTGAGCAAAAACCAACTGCATATGTACATACAGTATAGCAATGGTTAGAAAGCTTTTTATGTTTATATTCATTCCAAAACATACACATGCCAGTGATACAACTGGTAATAATTCCAAGCCTATTATGAGGTAAATTAGCAATTACTAAAAGATATTAAGGAAGAATTAAATAAAACAAGAAGTAACCACATTTTGGATAGGAAGTGTTAATATCATAAAGTCAGTTCTCCTCAAAATCTTAAGATTATTTGTTGAACTTGGAAGTATGAGTCTAACCTTATGTGGGAAAGCAAAGACCAGAACAGCCTGAAAGAAGGAAAGTATGGTGGGATTTGCTCAACTAGAGGCTGGTAGGTGTCATCTTCAGGATGTGGAAATGGTCCCGGGATTGACAGAGACCACAGAGCAGGGCTGAGCTGCAGATACACCCGCATGGCTGTGGGAACCGGACAGAGACAAACTGAGCCAGGAGTACACTGGGACCGTGGATAGATAGAAAAGAACATAGGTTTACATACAAATTTCACGTCATACCAACTCCCCCAAAACTCATTTATGGGTGAACTTATGACTGAAACATAGAAAGGATCTCATGTGGGTGACAGAACCTTCCAGATTCAAGTTCATCCATGCAGGCTCCTCACTTGGCCCCTCAGCCCGGGTACACTCTTCACACCCCCTTTCAGCTCCTCCAACCCTCTTCCTCTCCTAGCATCTGGGTCCCAAATCTGATCCTCGTCCCACAGTAGCAGAGGCCTGAAGTGAGAGGCACAGGGTGGCACTGTCCCCTTGATCACTGTTCTTCACTCTCCTCCCTCAGCTGGCAAGGTGGCTCCTCTCATGGTGTTCAGAAGACAGAATAGGGGAGTAACCAGGGGATTCTTCCTGCAGACTTTTTCCCCCAAAAGCTTCCACAGGCCTGTGCTTTCAAGTGCTGCACAGCGGCACACTGATTACCCGAGGCCCCAGCGTTGGGGCAGACTTGCAGCACCTCCAGTCCACACGTGAAGCCAGTTTCTTGACATGGAAAGTGTGATTTTAGGTCATGTGAGATGGGTGTAGTGAAAAAAGAATTGTATGCCAAGTGAGATACTTAAAGCAGTTCTGAGGGGTGGGGAGATAGCTGAGCAGAATAAACCCCTTCCTGGCAAGCGCAAGGTCCTGAGTTCAATCCCTGGTACTGCCAAAAAAAAAAAAGAAAGAAAAAAAAAAAAAAAAAAAAGAAAAAGGAGTGCTGAGTTTAAACCTCAGAAATCTGAATGTGTTCAGAAGTAAAAGTAAAATTCCGTATTCATTTATTTCCTGGGGCATCCAGAAGGGCAGCAGCCCGGTCCATGTTGTCTTTGGTTTTACCTTGTCTCTGACTCCTGTCCCCTTGCCTGCCCAACTTCAGGTTCAAGCTTCTGTAGGTATTTCTAGAAGCCATAATTTCTTCTCTCCTTTATTGTTTTATTGAGTTGTTGCTCAGTCTCAAAGGTAAAGAAATGAATAAATCTAATCTCACCTAAAAATCTGTCTGTATTTTAGAGGTGAATATGGGCAGATAGGGCAAGGCAGATGTGCAGGGTAAGAGCAGGGAGAATTCTTTCTGTGGGGTGCAGATACCGGAGTGGCCATAAAGGGACAGAAAGGACAGAGCAGGCCTCCATGGTGTGCGATGGGTGGGTGGGCACTAAGGTCGCTTCCTTTCCCTCAACTAAGCAAACCAGAGACAGATACCGCCTCCCCAAGATTCCCTGAAGTACACTTAAATAAAATATTTCTTCTGTTCTCAAAACTTTCCTAAACCAACCAAACATGTAAGACTGCCCTAACGAAAAGAGTTCTGACTTCTATTGCTGGATGATATCTTAGAGCTCTAACATAATTTGTATGAAATATATACATATATGTATATGTATCTTAGATGTAATATACATATTACAGGTATTCCTTTGGTTTGTGTTTGAATTATTACAAAGAATATTTTAAAATCTAGCTTTTAAAAACACACCCTTCTCTACATTTTTCTTCTTCATTGCTTCCTTGCTTTTGCTTCCAGGATGGTTTTTTAAACCTGTCCTATGGAGAACATAATGGCTGAGAGGTAATAAGAAGTGGAAATTAGGACACAAAAGGACAATGCTACAAAAGTTACTTTTTGTTAGTCACTCTTTGAAGTGGAGCTTCCCTGGCTGGCTGCCCAGGCTGGCTCACCGTCCTCGCTCAGGCCTGCAGGATGGCTGTGCCCTGATTGTTCCAAAGAACCCAGCCACCAGCCCAGGCTCCCATCAGCGAAAGGAGGATTCCTGGGGCACATTGTCTCTGGCTTCCCTGAGCTAATGGTGGCTGCCCTGTCCCCAGTCGTTGTCTATCTCTGCCTTCCCACCACCACTGCACCCATCATAGCTGACAAAGTCAGGGTCTCAAAACTAAAGAAGCCTGGAGACACGGAACCCAAAATGTTGACAGTGGTGGTCATCCGTGGAACCAGACAGTACCAAATTTTTTTCAAATTATTCTCTTCCCTTCTTGTTTATAGTTTCTCATTTTTGTCTGCATGGACAATGGCTCTTTTTGCAATAAAAACACAAGAAAGCGCATGTAACTTCTGTTCTTCCTGCGGTCTTCCCCACAGCCCTCCTCCATTATCTGTGGTCTTGTCTACTTTAGTAAAGAAAGTAGGTCTTGCCATCTCTGGATTGGAATGAATGGTTGAACCTTTTTTTTCCCTCCAATTTAAAATATAGTAAATTTTGTTCAGCTGAGGAGGTGAAAACTGCTCTCTAGTGTATAATATATACAAATGGTCTGTGGTGTCCTAACCCAGGTGCTGGCTGTGAGCCATAGCTCCTGTTGTCTTGGTATGTCCTGAGACATGCTGGTGTAGGGCAGGACTCTCAGGACAGTTCTGTGGGTTTAGGAAGGCTGGCTTTGCACCTCGGGCTTGTTTAAAACCTCAGCACTGAGGAGACTTCAGAGTCTGTTTCTGCAGCTGTATCAGGTGACCCTCAGATGTTCTCAGATGTTCAAACTGCACATGATCAGCCCTGGGACATGGAGTTTGGAGAAATCAGTTGAGAATGCTAGAGATCCAGGGAGACTAGCTTTACTACTGTGCTTAGATGACCAGATCATCCCAGTTTGCCAGGAGTTTTTTTGTACTGTGGATCGAACTCAGGACCTTGCACTTGCCAGGCAGGCACTTACATAGCTAAACTATTGTCCTGGCCCTTGCCAAGAGTTTTGACAGTGTTAGCACACTGGAAATCTTATGTCCTAGGCACCTACTGGGTCCTGAGCAAAGGGGAACAGTTGGACATTCTCAACCGTACAAGTATCGGCCAACACTGTGGTATGGGTGATGTGGAGAGGGTAGGAAAACTGCAGTCAATGTTAGTCTCAAGGAAAGGTTACTTGTAACATAAATGTAACACCTTTTTAGTGAAATGTAGTTTTCAATATAAATTTAGGGGCAGGGGTTATAACAATGGCAGAGACCTACTTGATGTGCATGAGACCCTGGGTTCAATCCCCCCAGCACTGCAAAACAAAGTCAGTAGCACCACTTGTCCTTAAGGGCCTGCCCTCAAAGTTGCTGCAGCGTTGGTCTCCCCTTTCAGAGATGATCAGACTTCCTGTGGCAACTTTGAGCTCTCGAGCCTGAGGAGGGAGGAAATGGCCTGGCCTTATCTCACTTTGGGTCATCTTCATTCATGTGTACAATTTTAACTTTCCACAGAGAAAAAGCAAACCTGGCCATCACCCTGTGCAATGACAAGGAGGAGATCATGGCCCACGCCATCTTCCTGGACTATCCCAACTGGAACGTGGCCACGCCTGTGGCCTGGCCCTCGGTGTTCGGGGAGCTTCACAGCGACATCCCCTGCACGGTAAGGAGTCACTATGTGGTGATGGAGTGGCCCATGTGTGGAGGGGTTTGTGAGGTTGCTGTCTCAGCTTCTGGACTGAGAAGTCCAAACTCACAAGTGATGACATCATGATGATTAATCCTAAGTGAGCTGGTGCTGGGAAAAGGAGAGCAGAGCTCAGAGACCAGCAGACATAGGACAGGGCTGCCAGTACCTGCTGAAGCCCTGCACCTGGTGGCAGAGGTGTCCCATGTGTGTGTCTAAAGCTCATGTTGTTCTCTGTGCATCGCACCTGATGCCTTTGACCTGCTTCAAGGCCCGCATCACCCACACGGTGACCCTTGTAATGTTGATAACAGAGCCCTCTGTGAAAGTCACACTGTCATTTTCAAGATGCCCTCGTGGACTGTGGCTCATTTTAGCTGAGGGCCCATGACATCATGTCAGTGCAGGGGACTGAGGTCAGTGTTTCCCAGGAGCCCAGCCTGGGTGCCCAGAGCCATCTACAAGCTTTCTCTGAGGCAGCCCGACAGGACGCTGCCCCTCGGGTCCTCGTACCCATGCCTTCGTGTACATGAGCCCCCGAGCCAAGTGTTCACTGTTAGTTCATGTATTAGATGCTTGCCCTGGTCCTTGTGCCACCTCTTCCCCTGCCATGCTGTAGACCCAGGCAACATGTCCAGAAAAATGATGCCAAACACAGAAGTAGACCAGAAAGACTGTTTCTGTCTGGGACATGTCGCTTCACTTGACTGGGCTGTTTTACAGTTCTGTGGGAATGGCAGTGAACGTGTAGACTCTTGTCCATCTGAAATGTAAATAATTCATTCCTGTCTGGTAAAAGTGCTAATCTCAAAGGTTCTGGTGATGGGCTGTAGTACGTTACCTATCGCATATATAAGCCCGCAGTCCTGCCCTCATGTTTCTTCATCAGACCCCCTGGAGTATCCCCTTCATGGGTGTAAGAATCTGTTTGATCGTCTCACTAGTTTGTTTCATTAATTGATGATTTTAATAAATTACCAATTTATGTTCATGTTATATTTGTATTTGGGTCACAATTTTACCATTTGAAAATTAATAAATTCAAACTTTTTTCCTTTTGTTTTCTTAAAGATTGTTTCTTTTTGAACTCTTTTTATACAGTATGAAGTTAGGCTGTCCAATAGAGTAGCAACCAGCCACAGATAACTGATGAAGACTTGAAATTAGCTAATGTTGGTTGAGATGTGCTATAATGTATAATATACTCTAGATTTCACTGATATATTAAGTGTATATTATATTTAACATAATATAAAATACTATATATAATATATAATATACACTTAATTATACTTTAAATATAATATACACTTAATATGCACTAAAAAAGGTAGAAAGTATCTTGCTAATATATATATATATTTTTTTGGCAGAACTGGGGATTGAACTCAGGCCCTTGTGCTTGCCAGGCAAGCACTTATTCCACTGAGCTATCTCCCTGGCCCTTGATTTTATATTGATTACTTGTTAAATGATAACTTGAATATATTAGTTTAAACAAAATACTAAATTAAAAAGAATTGAACTCATTATCCTTCTTTAATGTATCTACTGAAAATTTAAAATTGCATCTCTGGCTTTCAGTTATGGCTCATGTTGTTTTTCTATTGGAAAGTACTGCTATCGAGCCTGTCTTGGTTACTGTTCTGGTTACTGAGACAAAATATCTGACACCCAGAGTTAAAGGAGGAAATGTTTATTTGGCTCGCAGTTTGTGGAGGATTCAGCCAATTATCAGCTGGCTCCAAGGCAGGGTGGCATGGCATAGGGGCATCACAGAGGCGAAACAGTCCTTGATACGCAGAAGGCAGCAAGTGACAAGTGACAGCAGCCCTTTTTCTGTCCTTTTATTCTGTCCAGAGAGGGACTTCCTACTGTCACTCCCGGAACTATGCCAAACCAATCTGTGGAATAATTTAGTAAAAACACACACTTGATCCCAACTTCACATACTCTGTCCAAATCTAGCCACCTCTAAGAGCCCCACCTATGACTCTCGAGGCTTTAGGGGGACATTTAGACACAAGCTGTAACAGAACCTTAAGTCTTAATGTGTTTTCTATGCCGGGGGTATTTACCACTGAAGCAATGATTTTATCCTAAAGCCATTTAGTGATTAAATCTTTAATTAACTTTTAATCCTCCTGCTTCAGCCTCTTAGAGTGCTAGGATTACAGGTGTGTGTCACCATGCCCAGCTTAATTAATAGTATTTCTGCAGGAAAGGAGAATTTGGGGAACAAGTGTGTAGTCCCTGTGCTCCCAAGACTAGCGCTGTTCAGGGTGCAACGCTGGTGTCAAGGAGGGGTGTGGTGCCATTACTGGGTGAATACACAGTGCTTTAGTGCTTCAGGCTCTGGCCTTGTTGTAAGGATTATCTGGATTTAGGGCTTTGTGCTGTTGGCCTTTGGGAGTTTTGATTCTCCTCTTGCCATATTATGCCCATTACAGGTCCTTCTGAAGGCAACTGAACCATATCATCTAGGGAAAGTGGGCAACCTTAAGCCAAGGCCACCTGGAAACCACAGCACCTTTGTATCTCTAGTTTCCTTCTTCAGCCCAGGTCCCCAGATTCAAACATCTTCCAATGTAACATGGTTCTAAAAATTGCATCTGAACCAAACATACACGGACATCTTTCCTTGTCATTGTTGTCCAATGAACACAGTGTAACAGCTGTTTAGTTAGTATTGTGTTGGATTAGGATTATAGGTAGTCTGGAGGACTGCAGATATGTGCATCAGTGCCACTGAGATCTGCAGAGGTCTGGGAGGCAGTCCCCACCATTAGAAAATAAGACACACACACACACACACACACACACACACACACACACACACAGGTCAATCCTGCTGTCCACACTAGCCAGTCAATGACTTCTCATTTGTACCATTTCTATGACTGGAAGATTTTCTCATCAACATAAGTAACCCTAAAGGTTTGTCTAGAAAGACTACCTGTGATTTAGGCAGGTGAAATGATCTTCAAAAGTTATGGGATGAAGCTTTGTAAAAACATGGATATTTAACCTTAGAGTCATAGTGGAATCTTACTACCCTTAGTTTTCAGCTCCCAGATTTTCTGGATCTCAAGAGTAATATTTGATTCTGACTCCTGGAATGTTGAACAAAGCAAGCTTTCAGATTCCATCCTCAGTATCTGCCTTTCCTCCTTCAGTTTCCCACTCTGTGTCCTGTGAACAGGGTGGCAGCTGCTGACCCTGAACCCCAGGGAAGGCGTGACTGCCTTGCCTGGCACAAACTCCCCTGAAGACAGGACTGGGGGCCACCGATGGATGCTGCTGCCCCTCGGGCTCTCCCCTGCCACAACCGTCTGCTTGGTATGGAAGGGCTCGCACTCTGGCCTCATACATAATTATCCCCTTGAATAATTCTGAGCCAGGAGCACAGAAGGCATGGAAGGAGCTGGTGTCAGGGCTCCAAAGCCACCTGGTGCCTTGTCATGTACACATAAAAGGCCATCCCCATATGCCGGGCAGCTCTGTCTATGGCCACCCATGTGCCTCTGAACAGTGCCTAAATGCTGACCCAGCCTTCAGCCATTCTTTTCCCTGTAGCCTCTGAACACGCTATTCCTGCACCTCTTCGTGGCTGTGGATGAGTACTCTACCGGCTGCTGCAAAGAGATTATTCGGTGAGTGCCTGGGGCCCTACAGACGACAGGCACCTTGGAGGCCTCCATGCAGATTGTTTCAAAATGTTTTTTAATAGCCATGGAATTCTATAGGGCATTTCATTTGCTGGAGTTCAGGAGTGAATGAAAGCTTTCACTCTGACAGTGGTGATATTTCTAAATGAAAATAAACAAAGTATTAGAATCCACTCTGTATCCTTCTTCCTAGTGGGATTTGTTGCCAGACAGGCCTCAGGGGGACCAGGGGATGCCTGTAAAGGTGATCCGCAAGGCCCCTGCGCTGTGGCCAGGGGCCTCTGACAGCCTGCACAGGCCTTGGGGCGGGGGTTAGCTTTCAAGTCACTTAGTAATGTCACACCAGACGGTCCAGATGCTGGGTCAAAGGTTAATATCAGCAGAAATCTGCTGTGCCGCCTGCACCCATGCCCTATTCTCCCCACCTCTGCAGGGCAGAGAAGAAGGGGCTCTTTGGAGTCCACAGGGAACAGGGGTAAGCAAGAAGCTGGCTTGGAGACCTTGTGGGTTTCTGGATACCTGGTTTCTTCTGTGGTGGGCATTTGTCTCTGATGTGTGGGCTTTGATAGTAACACCTGCCACTCTCTCTCCCCACCTCCAGGACTGTGTTTAAGGCAGTGCCCGAGCTGCACTTCATCTTTCTCGTAGTGCCGTCCTACATGAGCCTAGGTGAGGCCCCTGTCCCCACCTGTGCCCAGCCCTGGACAGGGAGGCTCTTGGGGTGGGAAGAGGGCTGGCCTCCAAGTGGCAAGTGTCCCTATCCACATTTGATTATAAGCATCACGATACTGTGTAGTGTGGAGACTGCATCTTGTTTGAAGCCTTGAAGTTGCTCCTTGATAAAATGAACACACATTGCTCTCTTCCTGTGACTTAGGCTCAACTCTCATCACCGTTTTTAATCAAGTGGGCAGCGTGCCATGTCTGACGTATGACGAGGACTTTGCAGTGTATGTGTGTCATAGGCACAGACACTACCCTCAGCTCTACATTCGCCGAGCCAGGTATGGTGGGAGGAGCAACTTATGTGACCTAGTTCACAGGACTGTCACTTTTATGACACGCGCTGTAGTCACCAATTGTGGGAGGCTGAGGCAGGAAAATCACAAGTCCTAGCCCGGGCCGGATGACTTAGAAAGACCCTGTCTCCAAATTAGAAATAAAATAAAACAAGGACTGGGGACGTAGCCCAGTGTAGGCAGAGCCTTTCCTTTCCTTTGCTTATGTGACATAAGGTTTACCCCCTCTGGAGATGCTCAGTGTCCCCCTTGAGGACATAATTTGCAGAACCCTCTGGTGATTCTTCCTTGGTTCTGTGTGGCCATAGAGTTGCACATTTACTGCTAGGGGCTTCTGAGAACATGCAGTCCTAGGTCCCTCACTGAGTAAAATGACTTCTGAATACCACCAGTCAATCTCAAGTTTAAACTGAATGAAAGAAGGCAGGCTCAAGGCAGAGCCACATGTTACTGATCCCACACAGGCGATGGACACAGAAGGTAAAAGAAATCTGTGGCAAAGCAGTCCTATCAGTGGTGCCCATGGAATAAGAAAGTGAGTGCCTAGGAGGGATGAGAGGGAACTCTGGGGCAAAGGCAGCTTTCTGTGTCTTGATGGGTGGTGTGGAGCCATCTAGGTCATCACACTGCACGCATGAGGTCTGTGTACTTTCTTACGCATTACCATACTTCAATGAGGAAGATCCTTGAAGGCACAAAAGGCTTTGTGGAAGAGATGCACTGTGGGTTTGGTCTGGAAGAAGGAACCAGCCAAGGCACAGAAGAGATGAAGATGGGGCAAAGAGGTCCTGGAGTGACCATGAGCAGGCAGGTGTAGCTGCCCTTCCTGCTGCTGGGTGCAGAGGCAGAACTGGAAGTCTCGGCTCTATCTTCAAGATAACAGGGAGCACCGTGTGTTTGCAAGGCCACTGTGGTTTTCTCTTGGCTGGCAGCTTATGAAGGAGGGGCATGGGGCAGTGTGGTCTGGAGATGGTGCTGGCTGGAATCTGGGCAGCGACAGGTCCCCGAGGTGCAGGTGGGAAAGGACCAGAGCAGGCATGGAAATGCAGGGGGATTTTTTGGAGGGAAAGTGCATATAGCTACCCATTGGAGGGAGAGGTTGGAGGATGAGAGTGAATTACTGGGTGATTTAAGGTTTTCAAGCTCATGGGGAACGGTGATTTCACCAACTGAAAGTAGAAATGACAATTGTCAAGTGACAGGAGAGTGGGAAATAGAAATTGAGAGAAAAGCCAGGTTAAAAATCCTCATTCATGAGCTATCTGTTTACAGGTCATTGGGGAGATGAATGAAATGAAGGTTATCTTGGGGGGAACTGAGAAGTGAATGATCTGGGGATCAGGGCAGAGTTTTGAGACTGGATAGGGAGTCGTGAATGATGAGAAGAAAGCTGGAAGGGAGCGAGAGGACTGAGAGAGGTGTCAGAGGCCAAGAGCAGAAAAAGATGCAGGGAAATCAAATTGGAGTATGAAGAAAGACCACTATAGATTTGGCCATTTTGTTTTATTTTATTTTTTATTTATTTTTTTTGGTAGGACAGTTTTAATAATTCACACATTGCATACATTCTTCCTAGTGGTTAATTGCTGTACAAGATGCGGACATGATATCCTATTTACAATCACTGTTAGAACAAATTCCTCTATTCATTAAGAGAATGTAGCTATATATATCTATCCTAACCACTTTGAATACACAGATACAAAGTGGACATTCATCTGTTTCCCCTTTTTTGTTAAGTTTCGTTATTTGAATATTATAGGTGTATAAACTCAGCAAAATATTCTAAGAGTCCAGTAGCCCATAATAATATTGGGTCTTCTGCTTGACTGGCAATGTCAGAAATTGTTGACCTGAGTCCCTTACAGCTCAACGTAACAGCATGGCTTTACTTCTTATTCTTCATTTTTATACTTTTCTGCTGGATGGTTAAGACCAAGATAAAGCAGGACCTATGTAACAAGAGTTGTAGCTTTTGGGTCTGCTAAGGTCAGTGAAATCCCCTCAGGATTTATCCTGAGATCCTGTACCTCAGATTGTTGTCAGTGTCAGCCATGTGGATGAGTCACGGCCATTGCTTGGAGATTTGGCCATTTTAAAAGTCACAGATGAAATAGAATTGATTGTGCCAAGCTGATCAATAAAAGAGGATGAATGACCAGCATCAGGACTGGAAAGGACTATCACCACAGATCACCTGGGCCATAAAGGGACAGCAAGGGATATCACCCACACCACTACATCAATAAGTCCAAAAAATTAGGTCAAATCCACCAACTCCTTGAGCAGCACAAGCTACCAAAACGTCCTTGGGAAAAGATAGATACTGCAAGTGCTTCTATGTGTGCTACAGGAAATTGAGGTGAACTGGGCAGGAAGGGAAGTGACATCGGCTCCCGTCCTCCCAGCCAGAAACTCAGCCTTCCCCAGGATCAATCCTGGGCCGCACATGATCGGTGGCCTACCTCTGGCCACTTGGGCTGGCTCTGGGATTCTCGGCCTTGAAGAGCTGGACTGAAGGGGTCCAGATGTGGTGGGTGGAAAAGAAAGGTGCAGAAGGTGGGAGGAGTGGCTACTGTCCAGACTCATGGTGAAGCGAGTAGAGAAAGGGACGCAGAAGTCACTTTGATGCACAGCGCTGTGCAATGGGTAACACGGTTCCATTCTGCCACCTGCATAGAGCAACCAGAAGGCCAGACAGCCTGTGCCTCGGTGATCACCAGGGAGTGGGGACTTCTGTGTAAATGATCTGCCTAATTAGACAGTTCTTCTTAGAAAATGATTTTGCTTTCCTTTTAATAGCTAAATGCATTGTAACCCTCTCCTTATAAAACCCTTTTGATCACCATACGAATTCTAATGCAAGCCAAAGGCATTCTGAAGGAAATGAATTTTGTGAGCAAAAGCACATTTTTAATTGACTCCCTCACACCTTTTGAAGCCTTTGTCCTGATTTATGAAGTTTCTTTTGTTAGTGTAGGGGAGGCAGATCTGCCCTCTGCCCTTCAGGAAAGTACATTCTTGAAAGAGTTTATTTTAAAAGTATTCACAAGCAGCCAGTCTTTTTTTTTTTTCCAATCATGAGAAATCTGCATGAATAAATTACTTCAGATCTTGTAAGTAGTCTATCAGTTGCTAGCCTTTTACTTTAATTTCATTTTAAATCTCCCTCAACCCTGTCATTTACTACTTATTTTGGTAAAAAGGTTCATTAGTGAAGTGAATTCTTTTTTTTTTTTTTACACTTTAAAAAATGTGTTTATTGGATACAGGGTCTAGCTACACAGCTCAGACATGTAGTGATCCTCCTGTCTCAGCCTTCCCAGCCCTGGAATTATAGGCATGCATCACCATGCCCGGTTTCAGGGCTGGCACAGTGCTAGCATGTGGTACTGGGGATCAAACTTGAGTCTTTGAGCTTGCCAAGCAGGCACTTAGACTGCTGAGCTTTCTCCCCTGCTTATTTTTACAAAAAATAAAGATAAAAGGGGTGGGGTGGGGACAAATTCTCAGTATGTAATTCAGGCTGACCTTGAACTCACTATCTAGCCCCGGCTGGCTTCAAACTTGCAGTGATCCTTGTGCCTCAGCCTCCCCAGTGCTAGGATTGCAATGAATTATTTTTTTAAAACCACAAAATGCTGAACAGTAAGAATTACTCATCCATTCTATGTGAGCACAAGGACCAGGGAGATAGCTCAGTGGCATAAGCGCCTGCCTGGCAAGTGCAAGGTCCTGAGTTCAATCTGCAGTATCAAAAAAAAAAAAAAAAAAAAAAAAAAAAGTCTATGTACGCATGTAGCTAGCCATACAAATATAGCAACTGTTGGCTCAAATATCTGCAGGTTCTGCATCCATGGGTTCAGCCAAGTACAGATAAAAAAAATACTTGGGAAAAATTGCATTTGTACTGAACATGTAGTTTTTTTCTTCTCATACAATACAGCAAAACAGTGCTTACATTGTATTAGGTGTTGTAAGTAATGTGGGTATGGTTTGAAGTATACGGAGCGTGTGAGTAGGTGAAGTGTAAGTTCTATGCCATTTTATGTAGGAGACTCGACCAGCCTCTAGTGTGGTATCTGTGGAGGCCCTGGAACTAGTCTTAACAGGGATACTGAAAGCCTACTCACCACATAGGTATACACTACTATGGTTTGTGTCTAGGTGTCCCCCCAAAGATTCCTGTAGTCACTGGGGTGCACTTCTAGAGTTCATGATTAATTCATGATCCAGTGCTGGGATTATAGGTGTGAGCATGAGCGCTATACCCGGCCTGGGGCAGGTAGCCTGGATGCAACATAAGGGAGGGAGAGAGGCTAACTCTCCGCCTCTGTCTCTGCTGCTGCTGCTGCTACTCCTCCCTTTTTGCTCTTGCTGTTTTGCTGCCTTCCACCGCCATGAACTGCTGCCCTCTGCCAAGTGCCACTCTGCCTTGGAGCCAGCTGAGTATGGACTGAAGCCTCCACAAACTGTGAGCTAAATAAAATAAACCTTTCTTTTCTTACTTTTGGGTGTTGGATATTTTGTCCAAGCAACAAGAGAAAAGTAACCCCAGACATACATGTATCATACAGATGTGCATGTGTTCCCTCTCTGTGCACATGCACATGCACCGACACGTGTACACACACAGGTACGTGTCCACACTTGCAGGTGTGCAGTGCATTCTCTGGGTGTGTGCAGGCACAGGCCTTCACACAGTGCTGCGATACTGTCCTCTGTTAATTGTAATTCTGGAAATTCACCTAACACACAGCTCATCGTCTTCATAGATGAACTGTATTATTTTGAATGACTACAATGGCCTGGATGGTTCTAATAAATTCATGTAGTTCTTTTAGTTATTCCCTATTTATGGAAATTTAAGCTGTTCTCAGCTTTTTAAAGTGACAAATAATACACACACAGCACACAGCCTTATGCATATACCATGCTATTTTTTTCTTATAGTACAAATAATTAGAAGTCAAATTTCTTTTTAA